TTTGATGGTATGTTTGTTTGTTGTTTTTTTCAGATTCAAAGATCAATATCGCATGTGCAATTTGGCGTGTGAGTTCGTATGAAAAATTAACACGTGTGTACTTGTGTAGGTTAGTTTACTAAGGCAAATATTAGCGATTATTTTTACATGAAATCATTTTTAGTAAAATATAAAATAATTATTTTAAAAATTAATCCAAACGATATTTTTGGTATCCATCCTATCAAGTTGAACGGATCGCATTTAGTTAAAAATTTATAAAAATATAATTATTTTGTCTGTGCTGTGAATGTAAACAAGAAATAGCACAATAATAGATAAAAATGTATATACGAATAATAAAAAACATGAACAAAAGTAAGCAAAAAACGCGCCATCTTTATTACAATGACGTATTAAATGACGTCACTGCATTCTTCGTGGGTTCCTCTTGTTTGTCGTTTGTCACCAGACCATGACGCCACCACACATGTCATCTGCCACCTATCGACCTGTTGTTACTAATTTCAATGTCAATAGAGCAAGACCCATAAAATGCACTTCATACTGATCAATAGGAATGCTTCATCATTTAAGTCTGCTGCCTGCCAGCGCTCTTTCCCTCTGCGATGGATTGCTTTGTAAATGAATCTCAGAGCAGGGATAATATTGTATGATATGATCAGATTGTAAAACTGGGGTGGTTTTAGGTATGAAGACCTCTAGGCGGTATGTTTTTCCGAAATGGATGTGGTGAGGCAAAAAAGGGTGATGATGGTGGTCTTATAGTGTGATGATGTTACGCAATTTATAATGATGATTGTGACGATGCTGGTGCGTTGCATTGCTAACGATGACGATGACGATGGCGATGATGATATAATGTGATGTGAATGTGGAGTAAAATGATTAATACAACATATGGATTGATTGACAATTAGTTTGCTGGTTAGTTGATTGTTTCGTTAATTGATTGACCAGCCAATGCATTCTGCAAATGATGTTTTTGCATGACGTCTGCCTCATATGTCCCATTATTATTGAATTTGGAAAAAGCTTCAATTGTGACAAATGTCATAACGTAACATGATACATGGCACATGGATTATTCCGCTGAAGTTTTTAATTATCATTCAGGTAGAGGCATGTAAAGAGCTGCCTGCCTATGTATCATACCTACCATATTAGATTGTCTGTGATTTATAGACAGTTCGACAAAAGAACATCCAAGTGAATGGAGAGATGATGGATGGAGTTTAATCTGCGTTAGATGAATAGCTGACTGAAATTGTTTGAGTTCGGTTGAAAAAAAAACTAACATTAACATCAGGATGTGTATATAAAGGAATGTGAAATTGTCCAGAAAATAAACTAGCGTTTTTAAAATTTAAAATCTATTGAATTTTTTTTTTTCTGGATCTATCGATATATCTTATTTTTTCATTTTTTTTTATCGTATAAGAACGCATATAGAAAGTGTGTGTGTGTGTGTGTGTGTGTGTGTGTGTGTGTGGTGTGTGTTGTGTGTGTATGTGAGTGTGTTGCGTATCAATTAACCACATAAATACCTCTGTAACTACTCCAACTACCTCTATACTAACAATCGCTTGATCAAAGATTGTATCTATAATTAGAACTAAATTGCTGACATTAATCTAGAAAAGAATAGAGAGAAAGAGAAAAAGAGAGAGAGAAAGAGAGAGAAAAAGGAAAGATAGAGATAGAGAGAAAGAAACAAAATCAATCGCGCTAATCTTTTGAACAAATTCTAAAAACAGAGAGTCGATAAAAAACTTAATGGCTTCAAACCTTTCAGAAGTTAATTAATTTGAAACTATTGAACGCCCCTCATTGCCTGTTAATTTAACTTTTTACACATAAATTTTTATAAATGAGTGTGTAAGTATGTAGAGAGAGAGTGAGAGAGAGAGAGAGAGAGAAAGGAGAGAGAGAAAAGAAGAGAGGACACTAAATAAGGAAAAGAGATGATAAGGGAGAAGGATGTTTTTGCTTGGAAGTTGAAACATCAAGCTGAAAAATTATTAAAAAGTTGTCCAAGTAACATTTTACTAAAATAATTCAACCAAGTACACTACACAAATGACTGGCATTATTTTCGTTAAAATAATATTATTGTTGTCTAAGATATACGGACAACGATGGCAGAAGCATTAAATTGATCACATTAACAAACGAACTACATCAACATTAACAGCATCAACGAACAAACATCAACACCACAAGATGAATGACATCAACAAACAGCAACAACATATTTACGACAAATTAATTTGTTCAACTTAAATTTTTGTAGTCACCAAATGCTTGTCCGCATTCATCACTTCGTTTATTAATGTATCTCGATACAACAAAATACAGCAAAAAATTTATTTTAAAAATGAGAAACAATGATTTACTGATGAATAAAATTGTTGAAGAGTAAAAGCAAATTGAAAACTGATAATAATTGAGGATAAATTTAAAAATAGGCATTCTTTCCATCAAATTCTCACGACGGTGAAACAACCAAAAAAATATTTTTTATATCTTGTAATAAAGTTTTGTATAAATTTAATCTTTTAAATTTGACCAACCAGCAAACGCCAACACGATAATAAAAAAATAACTCTATGAATATACAAATACAGGTAAAAAAAATACCCAAATCATCTAACAAAGTACTCAAAAAAGTAAGCCAAAATAACTGTTACTCCAACAAAATACCTGATCTCAGACACAAGTTCCTGGCTGTGACATCAATTACATGAAAAGTAGCGGGATAATAAACAAGAAAGTCAAATTTACAAAGCTCTGAAGAGCTGCAACGTCGACGCACACCAACATTTGTAACCATTTATATCTAGGAGGGGTACTGTTAAGGTATATCCTCTCTCTCTCTCTCTCTCTCTCTCTCTCTCTCTCTCTCTCTCTCTCTCTTCCTCTCTCTCTTTTCTCTTTACTTTCTTCTTCATTTTTTCTCTCTCTCTCTCTCTCTCTCTCTCTCTCTCTCTCTCTCTCTCTCTCTCTCTCTCTCTCTTTCTATCTATCTTATAAATATATGTATATGTATATCACAAAAAGCAATAAAAAATAATGTTCGCTTGTTTCAGCTTTAGTTTCATTATCAATGCCATGCGAAGGCGTAACATATATCAGATATCATATGCATGATGAATATTATACTTTTTATTATATGATATATATATATATATATACACACACACACACTCTTTATCTTTATAGTAAATTTTTAGATTATATAAAAAAAAATTAAATATTTTATACGTGAGTTAACATTCACATGGGCATAAATAGATTGTCGTTTTACAACAACATACGTGTATATAATTTGTTTGACTTTTGTATACATGTATATGCATCAATGGTTGTACATCTATATACGTATAGGTAGACAGTGGTACATACATATACGTGTCTATAGACTGTAGTACATTCATATACGTGTCTATAGTGTTGTACGTTCATATAGGCATGTATTGACTGTAGTACGCTATATTGCGTAGAGAGGATGGCTGTGTTGTACACGAATCAACGGGCAGGACGTCTATCCAGCTTCTTCCCATCTTTTGTGATTTCTTCTTTGAAGATTTTTACTTGTTATTGAACCTGAGCTTCGTAGTAGAAAAACAACAAATGAAAATTTGATTTTTACATTCTTAATAAAATGTTGGTAAATTTGGCTTTACACATCCCTACGAATTAACATCAGCATCTGAAATGAGAATATTTTAAAGGAAAATGAGGTAAAATAATCCGTGCACGAATGGTAACGGTACTCATGCATCTTATTTGAGTGCTTTTTAATCCTTTAATTAAAAACATTCAATTAAACTTTTTTTGATAGAATTTTCTCAACAAAAAGAAAAAAAATCACTTGACATTCCTAATGCTAATCATATACATTACTTCAATATTAAAGAATATTAATAGGTTAAGCAGTTTAATAAGCAGAAATCTCGAAATAATTGTCGCAAAAAATGCACTAGCATAAACCGCAGCAATCAAATCAAAAACCTGACACTGGAAAAGCTTTTAATGAGTCCATAAAATGAATCTCAATCGAACAATATATAAAAAATTAAGACGTTATCAGCTCTAGGACAGTGCTAATCTTTGGCATCTTTCTTCGCATTATCTCGTGATATAGGAGGAGGCGTTCGTTATAACGACAAACTCCTACTGCACGTGTCATTCTGTCCCTTCGTTTGCATGTGTGTCTGTCTGTATGAATACAGTGTACGCTTAAGAAGTCTCTCTAAAGCACTACGGAGTATGTTTTAATTCTCACGTGAAAAAGTATGAAGAACTTAATACATGTTAAAACGAACATTTCCTATACTCATAGTTCATATTTTGAGGTTTGGTTGATAAATCTGAAAGACTATGGAAGAGTTGAACATGCAAAGGCAACAACAACAACAACGTAGCATTTTATTTTATTCTCTAAAATTTCAAATGTTACAATTAAACGGAATCAATGGAAGTGTGGAAAATTATTAATTAATAAGTTAAGAACCAATCCATAACGAAACGACAAAATAAAGAGCAGATATGCTAATGTATTATGTACAACTCAATGTGTAAAACTGTTGATATCATTTTGTCATAGATTCACATACATTACAACACACACACAGTCACATCCACAAACAAGCACACACACACACATTTTAAACAATAACCTTTCCTATTAAACCTAGTACAAAAAAAAAATATTATATAAACAACTGAAACATGTAGTTGTGAACATTCAACTTTGTAGACCAATTTCGTTTCAATAACATACTAAGCAAATATCATAACATCTGGTATGTCTGGAACATTAACTAAACAACAATGCAAACAATAATTACAATAATTAATAATAAAAACAACAATTAATAATAAAAATAATAATTAACAAAATAATAAGCTAAACCAAAAAAAACAATAAATATACATTTAAAAAAGATAAACGAGTGTCAAGGACAATCAGGGACATGAACGAATGCCAAGAGCAATCAGGGGCATGGTTTGCAGATGACCCAATCGTTACTTCTTAGATTCTGCAGCCTCCTAGCCCTCTTCGACATGACGAGAAGCCAGAGAAAGCCGATGATACAACACACCACAGATTCTATGTAGTAACCATCAAGATATACGCAGGAAACCTTGCAGGGCTGGATAGGTTTAAATGTTTCCACGGTTCATTATAAATAGTAATTTAATTCAATTAAATAAAAGTGAACTTTAAAATAAGTTGATGAATCAATTAAAAAATTAATAGCCATTGAAGATTAGTAAAGTCATTAACTAATAAACTCAGTAAGTACATTTCATTCAACCATCACAACATCTACGTACATTACCGCAACAAAACAAAACTGCACTCAACAAACATGAACAAACACGATTGAAAAAAGTGACATCCATGGCCAACCAAATTTTTGACGGGAACGCATTCGCCAGTTTCATCCTGACATCCTGTCATCGTCAACTTGTCAACGAACCAGAGAGAAACTGTCTGCGGCCAGTTGCTGCCTGCAATTTCAAAGTTGCTTCGAAAAATAAAATTATCCAAGTCTGTTTAATGATAGAGAAAAAATTAAGATATTCATTAGGAAAATACATCCCAGGCACATAATGAAAGAAAATCTTATCTTTTGCTATCAAAATTTAAAGAAAATCACAACAATAAACACATAAAAATAGTAAAGTAAGGTATATGATATATGAACAAATGAATGAACAAATGAATAAACAAATGAATGAACAAACGAATGAACAAATGAATGAACAAATGAATAAATAAATGAATAAACAAATTAAAAATAAGCATCAAGTGAATGAATAATAATTTAAAAAATGGCAGACCTAAATTTGAAATGGTGTTCAGCAGCGTCATGTAGGTGCCACCGATGGCAGGATCACTAATGTTGGCGAAGAAAGTCATCATGGGTACGTACATGCAGTAGACTGCAATCTGTGTGGAGTAAGTTTTCAATCCACAGTAACAATTTGATGAGTGCCTCAAACAAGTTGGATCGTTGAAAACGTCTCAAGCGTAAGTTTAAAAATTGAGTGCCAAAAAATCCAGAAAGAAATAGAACACCTGATGAAGGGCAGAAGCGAACAACATGATGCCGTAGAAGTAAGCAGGGAACGTCACTTCACCGGCTGCTGATGTCGTCTTTGTGTATGGAGCCCACCACACGATCAGGGCATATATCAGGCCCAGGAATAATCTAACACCAAGTAACATATCACAATAATAATATAATTAATATATAATACATTAAATAAAAGTTTATATAGTATCAATAAGTATCAATAATATCAATTTAGTATCATTTAATATCAATTAGTCACACACAAGAAATATAACTTCTATGTGGAAACAGATTAGTATTATGAGCGTAACATACAAACATGACACTCAACATATTCATGTGTTTGTATCCTAGAAGCAGTACATAGTGATATCATTCGATACAAATAAATAGGTGAATAGCACCTAAACAAATTCAACTCTGTTGACTGGGAACCTACCTGTAAGGCATGCCTGTGAGGAGGAGATTGACAGGCTTCCTGGACGAGGACCACCTGGTGATGAGGATGGGAATGACGATGTTCAATGGGATCATCGGGACTGCCAACATGGCCAGGTGCTCCTTCGGAACCCCTGCCTCTATCAACTTCAATCCCGTTACAGTGTCCGCTGCTGCAAATCCTATCTGCATGAGTGGATTGGGATGACTATCAATCAATCAATCTTCGTTTTGCGTTTGATTGGTTGCGTTCTTAGATTGGGATGACTATATGAGTGGATATTTAGATGGATGAATATTCAATTTGGTTAATCATGGTCGAATGAATGAATGAATAAATGAACAAACGAACAAACGAACGAACGAACGTACGAACGAACGAACGAACGAACGAACGAACGAACGAATGAATGAATGAAAGAATGAATTAATGAATAAATTAATAAATTAATGAATGAATGAATGAATGAATTAATGAATTAATGAATGAATAAAAGTGAACGAAGTTGATAAATGAACGAATGGATAACAGATGTTTAGGACAGCAACAACTTAATGCTAATTCGTTTAAGAAATGCTTCTAACAGATAAAAAACAGATGCTAATGAGATAGCATGCAAAGCAAAAAGCTTTCTAAAGGTTAATTTTTAATAATTTAACCATGTCACAAGATCAAAATTTTATTCAATAGTAAGACATTGGAATAATAAATAAAACGGTAATTGAAAAAAATAACATTGGAAAGGGGCAAAAACCTTAATAGTGAGCAGGATGAACATGAGGGTGAAGACAGAACGCAGCTGGACAATCTCCCAAAGCAGTTGGTAAACCTTTTTGATGCTGTGCTTCTCATGTTCGCGCAGTTCATCTCGTTCACTCTTAAATAAGAACACTAGCGTCGTAGTGAGCAGAAAGATAACACCCCACACCAACAAAAAACCTGATCGATTTGATAAACCAACAATCGCAAACTACTTCTCTATTGTTCATATTTTAGGAGAAAACAATGGAATAAATGAACGGTTTTTTGAGCCAATGAACTGACCAGAGAATGAAATAACTCCTCCTTCTTGTGGCGTGGACCTCAAATATTTGTTGGAAAAATCAGCAGACTCCAACGACAGAAAAACGATGTTGCCCATCACAAACCCTGGAAAAAAATAACTAACATTAAGCATAATTTCAACTACTAAGAAAATAAATTTCTATTAAAGTCTTTTATTCCTTGAAAAATATGCGTGTGTGTGGCTGTGTGTGCCTGTGTAAGTGAGTGTGCGTCTATGTTGACGTTATGGGCGTACAATACATACAATGTGTTACTTGCGCTTGACGATGTATTTCATCACAAAAAGAAGGGTTTTTATCATCAATGTTAACATTTATGCAGCCAATGTCAACCCGGACATACAAATTATCATCCTCATCTTCATCATCCTCATCACCATCATCATCATCATCCTCATCACCATCATCAACACCATCCTTATCATTTTATTATAATTAATGTTAATGTCATCATCGCTGTGTAGAGTTGAAACATTGTTGTATTTACAGTCGTTACTGTTACTGGTATTTTTAAATTGCAGTGTAATTATCGTCCTTTTTTATTATTACTATTGTTTGAGGAAGGGAATGCAGATGCAACAGCAGCAGGTGTGCACAATGTTGCGCAAATCAATAAAACATAAAAACAACTACAACGACAACCATTAAAACAACAAAATAATAAAAAAACTCAAAAAATAACAACACGAAAAACGATAAGAAAATTAACTTTATAAGAAAACAAATATTATTTAGCATACATGGGTGCATACATACATACATACATCCCGGTTATACATTTACACACACATACATACACCCACACATACACACACAAATACATACGTACATAAATACATACATAAACATATGCATGAACATACACGCACGCACATACATACGTACAAATAAATATGGATTACTAACCAATGGTCTGCCCAACTGTGTTGCATGTAGAGACCCAGCCAATATTTGTACTTCAAAATCACATGATTAGGGTGAGTGAGAATGATAATTAGCGTGAAATGAAGATAACATTCACAATTTTGATAACTATCATTAAATTTATTATTCAAATTTACGCACAACACAAGCGCATAGTAAACATAGAGCACAAGCAACCTGGCAGTTAAAAGATGCAATGATAAAACGTTAGTACGTTTGTAATGTAATAATAATGTCGCAAAAATACCAGTCAATTAATTTCCTCTCTACATGACAGGGAACAAAAAATTACATCTCCACAACGCAGGCCAAAGACACGATGCAACACCAACACAACCATCACAACACAACCACATACTCCATGAGCATTGTGAGCGCCCAGCCGTCGACGGCAATGTCCTGAGTGGCAGCCAGGAAGTTGAGGCAGAAGAATATGGCGGTGAGGAGTGCCATGTTCGCCCCACCCTCCCCATCGTCACCCATCAACGAGTTGATGTGTCTCGACAGAACGAGCATGAATATGCCTAACAAATTATGGAGGTCACAAAATTTTCATAAATTATACGCCAAAGACCTAAACTAAACCTTGAATAAATTATGAATATATAACCCACCGACACAACAGAGAATACAAAATCAAAGTTGAAATTGAAAATGTTTGAAGATGTACCCATGAGATACTGAGTAGGCACCAGCCACGTTTTCCTTCTTCCAATTTTATTGCAGTACAAAGAGTCAACGATCGGTGCCCACAACAACTTCAAACTAAATGGCCAGTAGATGAAACTGAAGAGTGCCTGGTCGGTGTAGCTGACCTGTCAAGTGACGTTACATGGTCACATGATCAGGTGATTGCATGCCGAGGTTACATATTGTAGTGACTACGTTTTGCATAGTGAAGCGACACTTGACTATGTTTTACTCCAAGAATCACAACCAACGAATATACCAAATATTAAAAAACCCTTGAAGAATGATTTATAAACGACTGAACCTTCCTAGCTTGCAGCAGGTAAGGAATGCTGGAACCAATGCCCAGAGGAACGCCTTGGAGGACGTAGAGGAAGATGAGGAGGCAGATCTTACCGTAGTCATTTGAAACAGGCGGATGCTCTTTCGATGATGAGTTACTCGAGATCTCGGCTACAAAAATTAATATAATTAGCACAATTAACATAATTAACACAATTAACATGACTAACATAATTAATATTGATTAATTTCGACAATTAGTAATAAAAAAAAACAAATCGATTTACTCAAACTTATAAACTGTCTTTACAAAATGGAAACAACAAAATTTCAAAATAAGTACAGACAAGAGAAATTACTTGATACAGAAGTACTGGAGGACATGGTACTTTCTCTCTGTCGAATTTCCTTCTCTAAATAATCTTGTTGATAATTAGAAATAAATTTAATCACCATATGGTACAAAAAAAATTTATTGTGATTGCATGTGAAAAAATTATCCTTTGCAATCGTATTTCTCTGGACACAAGAAAAGTAAAAAAATAATTTTTAAAATAATGGACTAAGAGTATGCAGTGTGTGAATATCATATATTCATATCACATTAATATCACATCCCAATTAAAGGATAGTTAATATCACATCCCAAGTAAAGGATAGATATATCAGGATAGAATTATCATGAGGAAATGATAGTAATATCATCAGTAGTAAATGAGACAAATGTCATCAGTAAATGATGCTAACATCATCAATAAACAAATGATGAAAAGCTAATAAATTTTGAAGAAAATTGAATGAAATTTTTGAAGTTTCACTCACAAAAATATAGCCACTGAAATAGATTAAAAAATTTAAATAGGATTGCTTTAGGCATTAAAAGACTTTATGACAATTTAATGCTTGCCAGGCATGCAAAGACATACACCAACCAACTGACATATTTTTTGTCGGGAATAACAAAACTACACTCTGTATAATTCATGGATAGAGGTTTAAGAAAAAATAAACTAGACTTTTTAAAAACCATAAAAATAGATGATGGAACATTAATATTTAAAGCGTATTATCATATAATAAATATAGAAAATAATTTAGAGTATAATAGAATTAAATTAAATTATATGAAAAATCACAGTAAAACAGAAGAGTTTTATAATTAAAATAAATTTCTAAAAATTTTACTAAATATATTTACCATGAGTGTTGAAATAATATTCACTATTCTCTGGAAGCAAGGGTCCAACTTTAACTTTCAAGATGAAAATTTATTCAATTTAAATCTCAATTTGATTTACAATAAGTTAATTAATTACAATTTACTCAAATGTTTATTGAATAAAAAAAATGATAAACAAAAAGATATAAAAACAATTACATAAATATGATGAATTTGCAAAAACAAAAAATTAAATAATTTTTTCAAAAGTCTTACTTTTGTCAGAGTTAGAATCTTTTCTCTTATTAGACATTTCAAAAGGAAATTACAAATACATGCACTCCACTAGCTTTGCTTTGAGTTTATTTAAATTTTAAATTAATTAAAACAAGTATTTCTGAAAACTTAAAAAAGTTTAATTAAATAAAATATTGTAAAATAATAATTAAATCATACACATAGCACATGGACACGACTATACACTACTATAGTATTAGTTTATTTTATATTTTATAATAGTAAGTAGTAAGTAATAAGAGTCTGGTAAATTAGTAAAGTAAAGTAAAACATATGTTAATGATTTTTTGAATAAAAATACAATTGAATTGGTTTCAAATGTCACAAAGCTTAATCTTAATCCTTTTTAAAATATCAGGCAGTGCAATAATAACTTTGAATCTCTTTGAATGAATTTAATTTAGTACTGTGGTTCTGCATTTTCTAAAATTAAAGTTAATTTTTGTAAGAAGAGTTATTAATGCAATGTGGTGTCAGACAAAGCGTGATCCCATATCAAATTGCTTTACTTCGTATTTTAAAATTATAAAAACAATATTTAGTTTAAACAAATTTTGAAACATACTTGACTTTTTAGATAAAAACTGGAATATAATTGTAATCAGCAAAAATTAAAAATCCATCAAGTTTAAACAAAAGTTTACTTTTAGCGTAAACACTGGTAAGCAGTTTTAAAATAAAGAACAGCGCCACATTTTTAATTATCTTGTTTTGGCTAAACATAAAAAGTTCAATTTTTTTGTTTAAATTTAAAAAATAATAATTTTTTTAAATATTTTAATTTTTATGTCAAATTTTTTTAGTTTTTTAATCTTCGAACATCTTTTTCTGTCGAATACTTCCACGAACTAAACCGTACGAAAAATAACTGTGCGATGTTCGGTTTGAAGCGTAAACCGCCGTATTATCGTTCAGTTAGGGAAGTGGCCGATAATGATAAAAAGCCTAAAAATGATACAACAAATTCACCAAAAAAGTTTATTTATGGTAATTACAACAGGTATTATGGTTATCGTAATCCTTCGAGAGAACCTGACGGAAGGCTGTCCCTAATGAAGAAGGAATGGTTTGAGGGGAAAAATATTCTGGACGTCGGTTGCAATGTCGGCCAAGTTACACTAGCCATTGCGACTAATTTTTTACCTAAAACAATTGTCGGAATGGATATTGACCGCGAGTTGATTCTCGTCGCTAAGAAAAATATCCGGCACTGTTTGATAGACAATTCAGATGGTGATCTGGGTGCCGGCGAGAGTGCATGTGATGGTGGCGGGAAAACAGAAAATGGCGTCGACGAATCAAAAAATTCTTCAGCTTCAAATGACATCAAGAGAGTTCATTTGTTGAAATCTGTATTTTTTATTCACGTTAGTTAATTAGTTTTGCAAATGACTTTATTATTATTTTTATAATAATAAAAACTCATAGTTCGCTTTCATTTTGATTTGAATTGATTATTGCAAATTATTTACAAACATTTCACTTTAAAATTTAAATACCCCTTGGTATTTTATTTCATGTTCATGCTGTGTTACATTGTTTGTCTTATATCATTATTACATAAATATGCCAGTTATGTTGTTGTTATATATTATATACTAGTTATCCTGAGCATGTTTAAAATGCTTGGAATACACTTGATTTTGTTTTAATTTTTATTCTCGACTACCTTGTATTGTTCATTTTGAGTGCAGTTGGGTAATGTATTTTAAAAAGGGGAATTACGTTCCAGAAGATGATGGAGGTGTTGATCTCGTAATTGAGGAATATGATGTCATACTTGCTTTGAGCATCACTAAATGGATCCATTTCAACTTTGGTGATGACGGGCTGAAAAGATCTTTCAAAAAGATGTATAAACAACTAAGGTATAGGCAATTTTTACTTGTGTTTTCATTTTTTTTCACCCTTGGATCATTAGTTTTGAGTTTTACTTTCATTTTATTTATTGTGATATAAAATAATCTGTTGTGGAATATTTTTTAAAACAATTTTTATTTCATTTATCAAATTTTAGTCTTATTTCTTACATGTTATAAACTTATTTTCATTGTAGCCACGTGCTTTATTGTAATTATTCTCTAAAGGGTATCGGGTCTTCTGGTGTTAGAGGCTCAGGAGTGGTCATCTTATAAGAAGAAAAAGAAGTTGTCTGTATGTTACCGCATCTTTTTATTTGTTACATTCGTTTTACCTCAGTTGCCATTCTCATCAGTGTCATCATGAAATCAGTTATTAACATAACATAGTGAACTACCATAAAAATAAATACAACTTATAATTATATAAAAATTTACATTGTAAAATTCTTTATTAATTGAAATATATTTGTTGACTTGCCATCCACAGGATACAATATATCAAAACTATTTGTCCATCCAGTTCAAACCAGACCAATTCCTGGATTATTTAACGAATAACATTGGCTTCCAACTGATAGACACACTTCTTCCAAAACATGTACAATCAAAAGGTTGATTTAGGTTTTTCTACTCTAACATAGCTTAATATTTCTACTTGCAACTATTATCTACACTGATAATTTGTAAATACTTATAAATAAGCGTTAGATAGTCTAGATAGTCTACCATTGCAGTAATTTTTTTTAATTCAAAGGTTTCCAAAGACCCATATGGATAATGCAGAAATGATCATTTCCTTACTATCAGTCAGTCAGCTGCCAGTTTCTGTGATACTTTTTTGTTTCTATGACAAATTTTTTCAAACTGTTCATTCAATTCACGTGAAGTCTTATGGATTGTTGCACAAATTAATGTTATTTTTTTCTCTTCTGAGTTTTATTTTGCGCTAATATAACGGCCACTTTGTTATTTAAACTGTTGCATAACTGTTTCTGTTCCAGCAATGAGAAAAAAGACAAAATCATTCAAAATGTCAACTTTTTTCAATTCATTAATAAATAAATAGACGCTAATAATATTTGTTAACAATTGACATACATTGTATAAAATTAGTTAGTTAATTGGTAACAATGCAATATAATCAATCAAATTTCCATAAAGGGAATGCCATGAATTCCTAGAAATGTTAAATTTCAGAAACGTAACGTGGTCAAATTGGCAAATGTTTTCTTTTTAAATATTGGCTGAGTGTGGTAGGGAAGGCAGACTCAGGTGTTTATAGCATCTATAGTACCAAACATGCGTCGTCCAATCAAATTAGATACGCAAAATCCGTGTCATCATAATTCATTCATTGACGAGTTACATTAGATGAATTAAAGTCAATTAACCAATCAAATTAGGTTCATCCGTGTTATCAACCAATCAAATTTCATATATTTATTACCCATTAAAATTGGGTAACAACATTCATTAAGGAAATTAGATATGTGACGTTCACTAGGTAGCAATGTAAAATAATTAAAATTCATCAACTAATAAAATCAGACACGCAACATTCATAAACCAATTGAATCAGATATTAAACATTCATCAACCAATCACATCAAAATTTTAAGTAACTAACATGCATCAACCAACCACATTAGAAATGCGGAAACGCGTCAACCAGTCGAACAAGAAATGGAACAAACGGCCAAAATTTAACCACGGGTTAGCTAAACAGTCATAGATTATAAGGTCATAATCCATATAATATGTATAATATGTTTGTTTATGGATATCTACAATTAATCAAATACACGTACAAAATGTACAAATTCAAAATAGAAAAAGATAACTTGTTTAAAAAAATGGACCGCGTAATTTTACAAATTAATAAAAACCCTACATTTCTCATTTGCTTTAGTTACTATGGACAGAACAGAACAATTGAAAGATGCAATTTTGAATATTCTATGCGAGAGCTGTTTAGAAATATATCAAAAATATGCAAGAACGTGAATTAATTAATTAAGTGAGGCCGATGGATATCCTCACCATATTTTAATATTTTTAATTTCAAACGATTGATATCTATCGCTGGGATCACAACTTTCCAGGGATAGCTTCCCACCAACCCTTTCTGCCCTCGCACACAATCCCGATTCACCATACTTTATTAGGCCTGTTTTCTGAATTATTAAACGTAAAGTATTTAAACTTAAAGAACATGTTGGAAAAGTCTGCTAAATAACAAAGTTTTCAAACATATAACTCCAAAATAGGTAAACTAAAATACTTGAGAACTCACGTTGTTTAGTACTTTTTTTTTAGACGAAACATTTTTGTGGAAAAAACTCCACTGCATATTTCCAACACATTTTTTACTGAATGAAAGAAAAATGAACCTCTTCAAATATCCACCTCCCCGACGGGTCGACAGGGCAGTAGTGGATGCTGATCTGGTTGGAACCGTACTTATCAATGCATCTCTCTCCATAACCAATCTGGCCACGTTTGTTGAACCGGAATAACTGTAAGTAAATTTTGCGGGCATACATTTGAGAATATCATTCCACTAACCAGTGTTCGATGGACGGTGAAGATGTACGTAAAAGTCATTATGATACAATTACATGAAAACTCTGATCGTTTTATAGGAATATTTTTAAAGAAGTAGCTGTTTTCTTCATAAAGTGAAAATTGAAACTATTTTCAAAGATCATGATATTAATTACGAGAAGAAGATTGAAAGCTCCATTACAACATCAAGTAGATAACTACACAACCAACAATTTATCAATCATCAACTCAAATGACCCATCGATATACATACCTGGCCGCCTCCCATATGATGACAGCTGGATGAACCTATGGGACCCCCACCTGCTGATTCGCCCCTAGCATCCCAACAAATGGATTCCGTCCGCAATTTAATCTATGCAACGTGTGGATTACATATTTCAATAATTTTCTATCATGGCTAGTTAAGACATCAACCGTGAATAAATGGAATCCTCCTCACCTCTCCCCAGCCAATGTTTGGAGGTGGTGGCGGAAACATCTGGTAGACCTCGATGGCAATGTTGTCCATGTACCACTTGAAGCTCTTGCATTTGTTGCGTTCCTTGAATGCCAGCTGCTCCGATATATTCCCAATGGGATAACCTCGAATTGTCGGCTCCCTTGTGTAGAAGTAATCACGGAACTCCGGATCTAACCATACCTCAACAACTCGCATGTAGTTCTGGTGGAAGAAAGAGCATTTTTGACGTAATGTAATTGTAAACATAACTTTATACGATTTTATTGAATTATTCATTAAAATGTATATTATATGAAAACTCTTAAGATATGATAAAAATAAACCAATAATATGAGAGCAAATTAAAATATAAACGCTAACAATTAAGATGACAGGTATCTTTGGATTAATCTTTCCAAAGCCATAAGGCATATGATTCCTGTAGACATGTCCAACCCTAGAACAAGGCACCCAAACTATGCTACCCCCACACTGCCATATCTTCATCAGATGAAATAGAAAAAAATATTTACGCATATAAACATAAACGATGCCAAGCTATTCACGCAAACAGCCATACAATCAAACAATTTAGTCAACATTTCCTATAACTAATAGCCAATCACAGAATAGACGGAACCTTGAATGAAAGTTCAAAATTTTCCCCTCCCCATATCTGCAGACCAGGGTCGTACATCCCAAGTTCTATGAAGTAATTTCTGTCTATTGCAAACAACCCCCCAGCATGCGTAGGAGCCCTACGTGTGTGCGTGCGTGCGTAAATGTGTGTGTGGATGTATGTGTTATGGTATGTCTACAAGTATCTACAACAACAAACAATTATCTACAAGTATTGGAAGTTGTATATTTTCAAAAAATAATAAATAGAATGAAGAAGAGAAAGAATGTGAGCAAACTTGTAAGGTTCACTGTTATGCTGCCTTTCATTCAGCACTGACTTTGGAACCTCGGACTCCTTATAGAGGAAACCCCATTCGAAGATGCCTACAAATTTTTGTTAACAAATAAATGACAAACACAGACACGCACGCACGCACGCACACAAACACGCTGCATTAACTCTTTCCATAAAGCATAACAAACAATTAAAATACAATTCATTGATAAATTCCTTAAAAAACAGAAAGAAATGAACTGAACCTCTATAATGAGAATGTTTGTTGTAGACGGGGGAGTAGTGGAAATCATTCCAATCAATGCCATCTATGGTGGGCACCGCCATCGTTGTCCTGTTATTTTATTATTATTATTATTATTAAATAAATACTACACGAGAGTTGGCCGATTTCATTTAACTCGCTGTTTTTATACATAAGCTTGATTTTAAAATCTTTAAATCGGTTTAAAAATTTACTCGTTGAACTGTGGGAAATATGGCGATATTTTCAAATTCCAAAATTAATTTTGTTATCTATTTTATTTTACTTTTAGATTTAATTTACCCGGTTTATTCAACAAAATGCCAATATTGCAATAAATGATTTGTCAAGGTTAGACAGCACTCCTGGCGTTGAGCGAAAAACATTGCGAGCTTTAGAACTAACGTTGTGCACTCGCCTGCCAATTCTAAGGTGAATATTTCGTCTAACATTTTCAATTCAAATATATTGAACGATTATTCAGCCAATATGGGTTCTAATTTAAATTCCTGTTGTTGCAGAAAAAATTGCAAGGGCGGGAAAGGACTGAAAATGCACCAACGTTCGTGCAAAGTTCACAAAAATCTTCAACCGTCTGAAGAAAAGAACAAAATTAAAACAAATTCTTCGCCGTCAACATCGTCAAACGCCCAACAGTCGCCGCCAACAAGCCACCAACCGTCATCACCAAAAGTTGAAAAAACGGAAACGCCTCTTCTTGGTATCAGACTACCAAGGAACCCAGCTCAGTGGTCAGAGGCAAATGCTTATTTTCAACTTCAAGAAAACGCTACCAAGTTATTATGTGAAAAGATGGATGAGGTTGTTTATAATACACAGTCGTAAAATGGTTAAATTTTCAAAACAGTACTCTTAAATTAGCAATTTGAAAATTTAAATAATCATAAATGACATCATGCAGTAGTTTTTTTGAGATATTAATTATTTGAACAGATGGTTAGATATGAGCCATAGTGCTCATCTATATGATAGAAATTTTGCACGCAGTTATTTAGTTATTAGATATTAATTATTTGAACAGATGGTTAGATATGAGCCATAGTGCTCATCTATATGATAGAAATTTTGCACGCAGTTAGAAGTAACGAATAGACGTAACACAGAGTAAATCAGAACAAAAAAACAGGGATGTACCTATTCTGACGGATGCGAGCCAACAGCGGTACCAACCAATTTTTACCACACTCACAGTGGGCATCCAGGAAGACGATGACGTCACCAGTTGCCAGGGTGGCCCCCTTACTCCTGGTTCCAATCAAACCTAATCGTTCTGGGTTTCTATAGAGTTTCACCAATCCGTTAAACTGTTCGATGTACTTATCCAGTCTTCCTTTCAGATCAACTATATATTACATATAATTATTAAATGAATGAATGAATAAATGAAACATTTGATAAATTGATCTCATCATAAAAAGTTATTTCTCCTTTTTGAATAAATTATAATAAACAAAATGAAAATAAAAACACTGAATCTGGCCATCTGCTACTACACTCATTACAACCACCGATAAAATGTCATATCATATCATATCAAATCATGTCATATCATCATTAAAATCAAAACCATTATCCCCAATAAAAACATCGTTGACATCTTCATCATCATATAAGTATAGTTATAATGAAAAATTTTGTTAAATGTGGTTAGTCAGTATGTGTGTGTTGGTTAAGGCTGTTGCTGTTATTACCATTAAATATATCAATAAGCATTATGCACATAAGCATATATCAATAAACATTAGTTATTTTTATTCAATAATTGATTCAAACATTCATTCATTCATTCAATCATTCATTTAATCAATCATTCATTCATTCATTCATTCATTCATTCATTCATTCATTCATTCATTCAATCAATTATTCATTGACTATCTTTTTCTAAAGATTTATTTACCATAGAACTGCCGATAGTGATAACAATATTAATGATAGTGATAATAATGATGATAATGATGATAACGACGACGACGATGATATCTAACATCCACAAGCAAACCATAGAATCAAAATCATGAGATTAAGATTAACTTTTATCACTGAAATCATCGACGAGGACGACTTCCTTGAGTAGACGATAGGGTGATGTCTTGATGACGCTGTGTACAGTCCTCAAGAGTGTGGAGAAGCCTTCGTTATGGAAGACAATGATAACACTGGCCGTTGGCAGATCTTCAGGGTAGTGCCAGTACTTGCACCTTGTTTTAAGTGTTTTATTTTTTTTACAAAACTTCTAATTATTTCATATTCCTGATTGATAATGAAATAAAAATTAAATGTGGTGTTGATATAAAGATTAATGGAAGAACAAGATAGAAAGAAGAAGTCAGTTAATCATTCGTTAATTCACCCATTCATTCACCCATTCATTCACCCATTCATTCACCCATTCATTCACCCATTCATTCATTCATTCACCCATTCATTCATTCACCCATTCATTCATTCATTCATTCATTCAGTCAGTCAGTCCTTCATTCATGACAAACTCGTCCAATCTCGTGTCCGGAATATTCCTAGTCAGTGAGATCTTATCACTGGCGACCATGTTGAAGCCAAACTCTTGAACTGAGGCGTCTGCCTTTGCTTTCTCTTCAGGTGCAATAATGATTCTCTCACCATTCTCACCTGTACCAGCGTCATTTATTAAGAATTTATTAAGATGGTACCAGTTTGAATTGATGTCATTGCAAGTATCTCCAACATTTATGAATAGTTTATTCAAATTCAAATGCTAATCTAAACGTGATAATGGTGGCTGATTAAAAAAATCGTGTGTTTGTATATTAAATCATTTGCTGTGTAATAAAACATTTCAACTAATATTGAATCTATCACAACTTCACAATCACGCAATACACACACACACCATGCAATATCTAAACATTAATCAATATGTAATTATAATCTACGTCAGCTTGCATCATCATTCATTAAGAGTAACAAATAACAAATGTTACTAACAGTACCTACAGAAAACATCACAAATACAGACATAATATGTTACTAACAATACAGAAAACATCTTAATTAGAGACATAAAATGTTACAGACAATGCAGGTATCACAAATACAGACATAACAAATGTCACTAACAATATAGAAAATACCACAAATACAGACATAAAAGTTAGAAATGAACTTATAAACCTACCTGGACCATCTTCTGGTAAAAATGTTGGCTCAAAGTTGCCTTTGACCCCAGGTTTTAGAACTGGTGTTAATAATTTGAGCTCATCCTCTTCTACATATCGAACACCGTGCTTTTAAAGCAGTTTACAAAATTCAGTATAATAGATTATGCAAACACGAAGTAGATTCAACTATTTTTGGTAAATTTTTTCTTTAAAACTTTTAGATAATTTTTGTTTAAGTTATTCTAGTTTACAATCAACTAAAAAACAAACTTGAGCTGCTCTTTCTTTGCTGAAATCACGAAATGTTGATGAATCAAAAGCAGAGAAGAGCAGTGGGACAATGAATACGGCAATGAGTACCAGCACAAGTAACTTTACCAAACATCTGGGAGTCAGTCTACAACGAATCATATCTGATATAAAACAGTACAAAATGTTTATTTTAAATTTAAAATCTTAAAAATGATTTGATATTAAAAAAATAATTTAATAAAGATTGTACAAAGATATATGTTTCATAAAAAAAATAATAATTATAAACAAGAATTCATGTTGCATATATGATTAAATTGATTCAATTAATGTTAATTTTGTGTTTTGTTTGTTAAACTTATAATTAAATAAGAACTAACAAACTAAGATAAGAATAAGAAGATGAAAAAATAAGAAATTTTTCAAAGTAGCATCTGACTGAAAAAAAATTAAAAGACCTTCCTTACTATCTTAATTACAACTTATAACCTGGGAAAGTGAAAGGAAGAACACAAAAACAGAAAAAAATTGGATAACTCAATCAAACTTCACAAATATTTTAAAACTTAATCTTAATTTCTTAATCTCTTATCAATTCATCAATACAATCAAAGACAATAAATAATGGAAGTAATTGAATGAACTAAATTAGATTCTAAAACACAAACACAAAAAATATATAAAACATATCTTGATGTTTTATAATTAATAATATTTCATTGATTCAATATTATATATATATATATATATTATTCAATATTATGTCATAATTATAGAATATAAATTAATTATTATTAAATTAATATTTAAGATTCCATTCTGTTCTGATTCTGGCATTTGAAGAACACAGTTTATTAGTTAGCTGATGATAGTAAAACCAATAATTCCTTAGCATTCAACAAAAAACTCACCGGTAACATAAAAAATTAAAATAATTTAATTTTTCTATATAATTATAACAAATAAATTAAAAAATATATAAGGAAAATGTCATTAAACCGAACTTTTAAATTTTTTGTAAAAAGTTAACAACATAGTGGTACAACTATTTACCCACCGCTCGTAATACGTGTGTCAATTTTTTAAATGGCTTGTTCCCGAACACCATGGCTTTCCAATTTTATGCATATTTGTCATAGATATATATTGTAATATATCCATAATATTCGTTTATGTGGAACAGATTTCAAAGCTTTAGCAAAATTTTATATACTTAAAATTTTTTATATATTGAGGGGTGCTTAATATTTAATCCGTGGTGGTTATTTAAAGTGTTTTCTTAATAAGTTCTTTGATTAAATGTTATTTATGTTTCCTTTTTTCTTTTTTTTTACTAAGCTTGTTTTTTATACTTTATTATCGTCCAGTTTTCACGTGCTAACGAGAGAAAATTTGAAAAAAAATGGGACGTAAGAGACCTGCCGAAAAAAGTAAGAAGTTTTACTTTTTTTTGCATCGGTATTGAAAGAATTCACGTAGATCTTCATCTACATTAATTATTTTTTACTAGTTAGTTTACTTATCCTTTGCTCTATCTAAATTACTAGGTCCTCTGTAAATACTGTTTTTTCACTGGCAATACTATAGTATAGTACTGTAGTACTATACTCAAGTGCACGTCTTGAACAGAATTTTTGTTTGGCAGCATTTACTGCTTTGAAGATACACATCTTTTTATGAACTTAATTTAATTAATTATTTAATTAAAATTAATAAAGTTATATTTATTTTTTTATTTAATTTAAATTTTAAGTTTTTTTAGTTAAAATACAATTTTTAACTAAAAAAGATTAAGTTAAAAATTTGATAGTTTTTAGTTTAGACAGTATTGAGTATAGTATTAAAAATTTAATACATGTTTTTATTGTTTTTCAATCATAAGTAGACAATCGATTCAAATTGAAGTTTTCAAACAAAATGAAACTGTTTGAACATTGAATTTGTGAGTTCCATTTTCAAAAAATTAAATTAAAATTTGCTGAGTGTTGGTAGAGATCACGAGCGAGTTATTTACGTATAAATAAGATGCTCTAAGAATTGCAAGTGAGCGATATACACTTACCATAAATATAATTTACCATAGGCAAACATTTACTGTGGCTTTAGCAATTTTTCTATGCTTCAGCAGCGGTAATTACTGCAGGCTATTGCTAACACTATCATTACATTAACCTCAATTTTTAATTTTGACTATTTGTGATCTGCATTGATTATGAAAATAAAAATATTAATTTTAATTCTTTGCTATTATTAACCATCGTAAAATTAGGTCTTCACAAAACCGAAGGGAAAAAGTCCAAGAAAAAACAAAGTAAATTTTTTTCAATTAATTATAATATTAGTTATTATTATTAGAAAAGAAATGATAAAATTTTCAAGTAATTTTTTTTTATTTTTAAAGATAAGAAAGACACACCAATTCTAAAAAAGGAAAAAAAACTTGATTTGATCCAAGGTTTATTTATGTTTTTTTGCATTTAAAAACTCTGCATTAATTTGGCTTATCCAGGCCAAATGTGGTGGTTGATAGTAATTCTCAATTTCTAAATTTGCCAACCAGATAGTGACAGTGATGAACAGGATGAAATTTTTGAAAAGTTGAAAGATGGAGGTGATGAAAATGATTCACCCAACCATAGTGACGATGATGATGTTGGTGATTTACCCACTGACAGTAAAGATGATGAAGAAGATGGTGGCGAACACATGGATGATGATGAAGAAGATATGGATGGTAATGATGAGCCATTAGATGAGTTTGATGATGATAGTGATGACGATGATGATGAAGAAGAGGAAGTAGATAGTGATAATGAAGAGGTAAATGTTTTTTTTTTTGTGCCATTTAGTTTTTAAAATTCACCATTTTGACACACTAACATAAGCTTTTATTTATTGTAGAATTTATGGTTATTAATTGTGCTGATAAATTCATTAAAATAAATCTCACATCTCATCGAAAATTAATTATTTCACTTTTAACATCAAAAAGCTTTTGCCAATTGAGAGAAAGGCGAGAAAGTTGTTGCAGCATCAGCAGGAAAACAAGTGAGTTACCTGTGGTTCATTCATTTTGGTGCATAAAATCATCATCATACAATGAGCATTTCATAACTAACATCAAATGTTATAAACATTATAAGGAGGCAGGCTGATGAGTCATTGATAACAAATATTGTCTCTGAAACCTCTGATAATATCATCCAGTGTGGCAACGAAATTGTCAACGCTAATGCCACCAGTTTAGTGGCAGTGAAGCAGAGGATGATTGAGACAAAGGAAATTCTAAGTGATTTTAAAAACAAAAGAGAGCCAGGAAAAAAGAGGAAAGAATACATTGAGCAGTTGATAAGGGATCTCTGTTTTTGCTATGGATACAATGAGTTTCTCATGGTCAAGTTGTTTGATCTGTTCCCAGATGAGATTGTTGAATATCTTGAGGCAGCCAACATGCCCAGGCCAGAAACCATTAGAACCAACACTCTAAAAACTAGAAGGAGAGATCTTGCTAAAGTGAGTAGCTGGTACTCTTTTTATGAATTGCAAGTAGCAGCAGTAGATATAATTGAAAGAATATCATTTCATTAATTGATTCATATGTTCATTAAATTCAATTCTCTTGATAGTTCAACAACTGGTTAACATGCTAACTAAACCATTGGAACAGGCTTTGATCAGCAGAGGTGTCAACGTGGATCAGGTGACGTGGTCCAAAGTTGGCCTCATAGTATCTGACATCAAACGAACGAAGGATCAACATGTTACTATAGGTCCCCTTCTTTGCCACTCTTCAACAATAAAACTACTGAATTATTCATTTATTATGTTTGCAACTTTAGACCTATGTTATCCTCATGCTCCATTTTTTGAATGATGAAATTAGTCTTCTTTAAGCACAGCATCAACTACTTAATTGCACAGGAGCCACACCCGAGTACCTGGCCGGCCACTACATGCTGCAAGGGGCCTCAAGTTTCCTACCATGCATGTCACTTGCACCACAAGAGAATGAGTTGGTCCTCGACATGGCTGCGGCTCCTGGTGGCAAGTCCACACACCTTGGTTCGTTTGTTTGTTGGTGGTTTCTAGTTAACAATGTTTGCGTTACTTTATTTTTTCTGATATTTTGCTTCATTATAATTACTTTTTATTTAACATGTCAAATTAGTAATTTTTTTCTGTTTTATCAATTGTAAAAGTTAAATATATTTATTTTCCCAATTGTTATGTAACCAACCAACCCCATTCAGCACAACTGATGAAGAACACAGGATGCTTAGTGGTGAACGACGCAAACAAGGAGCGTGTGAAGGCAGTCGTTGGCAACTTGCACAGGATGGGCGTCGTCAATTCTGTTATCAGTAACGTCGATGGCAGAAAGTTACCAAAGGTTTCAACACAAGCTTTCATTCTTTCAAAATTTTATGCATTTAACTGACCGATGTCTAAATGTTTCAACGATCTTTTCAATAATTGTTTATGGACATATCCATGGATCTTCATTTTAAAGTATGTCATTCGATTTTAACACTTGAAAACATCAACCCTATCAACTCATTTGCAGATGATGACAGGATTTGATAGAGTTCTCCTGGATGCACCATGCACAGGTACAGGAGTTGTATCCAAACATCCCAGTGTTAAAGTTTCAAAGGTTAGGGTTATCACATCCATGTCCTCATTTTAATTTTGTGTGCTATTCTTGTTTTGTTCTACTTTTTACTTGAGGTTTTCTCACTTCACCATTCACCCTTAATCAAACATGTGATAAAAGCAATTATAACCTGTGATGATCCATGCACATTTGTGACAGTTTTAATGCTCTTCACATTTTTATTATGGTGGAGAAACGTTGTAAATTTATTTTATAAGGATGAGAAGGATGTACAGAGGTGCAGTCATCTGCAGAGAGATCTGTTGCTAGCCGCGATTGACTGCTGCAATGCCAAGTCATCAACTGGCGGATACATCGTATACTCAACGTGCTCTGTCTTGGTATGACTTATTTAATAGCATTTATCAAATTTCCATTCAGTTTAATATTAATAATCTTTGAAAAAAATATTTTTCTGTGAATTAAAATATAAAAATATTGATCCATTTACGTGAAACAGGTTGAAGAGAACGAGGCAGTTGTGAATTTCGCATTAAAAAAACGTTCCGTGAAAATAGTCGAGACAGGGCTGAATTTTGGAACAAATGGAATTGTCAAGTAACTGATTAACACTTTATTTAAAAATCAGATGAAAAATAATCTTATAACGTTTAATATTTTGTTCATTACTTTCCAGTTTTAAAGGGAACAGATTCCACCCATCCGTCGGTCTCTGCAAACGTTTCTACCCACATACACATAACTTAGATGGATTTTTTGTCTGCAAACTCAAAAAATATTCCAACAAACTTCCAGGTTTATACAAGTTTTATTGTATTGTTTAATCATATCATTGCTTCCCTATGTGATGTTTGATATCATAATTATAAACTATTGACAAACATTTTCAAATAATAAATTTTAGTTAAAAAAACTGATGAAGATGACGACGAAAAGGTGACGAAAAAGATGGTGAAGAAACAAAAAATTAATTTATCTGTTAACTGATTTGAATTATAAAATTTATTCACTATTTTATTATAAATATAATGTAAAAATTTGTTTTAATGGAATGTATATTGATTAGTATAAATAAAAAAACGTGTAAAATCAAACTCAATTAAAGGTGCATACTGCATATACGTTGAATAGATCCATTACACATACCATAAAAAATACTGATATCGGCAATGGCGCGATTGATCAAAAACATATTCGGTATGCAACCAACCTATTTAAATGTAAAAAAAACCATTGAACAAAAAAAGAATGACATTTAATCATGATTAAGAGGTATGTTGCTATGAAAGTTCAACAAAATTTGAAACTGTCTTAAGAAGTGTATGAAGAGAAACTATGACGCATGATAGCAAATGATATTTACGGGTCTGAACGAATGAGCAATTGATTTCGTGAAAAGGGACTGTTCTGACTTAGGACAAACATGGTTGTACACGAATTAAGCTTCTTTTGTAGAACCAATATTTTGGGGGCGAAAGGAAATGAGTTATTAAATAGGCTACTACGATTCATTGGCTTGATAATTTCTTTCTAATATTTGTTCGTCACCGTGTGAAACAGTGGTATCGTCGGAGGTTGTCTCAACAAATTCGCTTCCAATGACATTTTCAGTAGGTTTGTTTCTTTTTGAAGGTAATTTTAATTTGTTTTTAGGAGGTGTGAAACGTTTTCTTTCAGTGAAGTCAATTGGTTGGCTTCCTGACGTTGGGTAGGGTACGACAGTTGCTTGGTTGTCGATATCAGCATCACTGTTGTGATATGGTGTGACAGATTTCTTGTTCGTGGAACTGTCCAATTTAATTTTGTTTTCCTTCAACTGGTTCAGTTTAACGTTAGTAATGTTTATGAGCACATCAGACCATGCTTTCTTGATGTATGCTTTAACTTTGTTGTTGTAGACTTTCATGCGCTTGCTGATTTCATTGAGGTCCACATTCAACATTTTATTCACGAGGTCGTCGATTGAATCAAAATAAATTAAGTGGGGCCACTGATAGAAATCCGCAAACTGCAACCAGTACCTGAATTTCAAATTTTATCAAGTGAGAAGTTTAATAACTGCTACTTGTTACAATAATTTATGCAATTAATACAGAGTAATTTTTAAAAACTCAAGTTGAAAATGGCAAACCTTATGGCATCTTCGTCAAAATCGTCATTAGGATCAGGAACATTTGAAAAGATGCCTTTGATATTTGAGCTGTTTGACCTTTCCAGCATGTAGCCACTCCATGTACGTTGGCGCACCACCTGGAACTTCAAATGCCAGCTCGTGAGAAGGTCCAGAGATGGAAAGAACATTGGTATGTTCATGCGATACTAATTAGTCATGGAAAAAACATTTTGTTAAAAAAATTGTATAAAATATCTGAAATCTAAAAACATTCCAAAATAAATTGCTTGAACAATTTGAAATCAAAGCTATTAAATTTAAACAAAACTGGTACTACATAAATGTTCTAAATAGCATTACAATAACAATTAATATTGATATTTTTAAAGAAGTTTCAATAGCACCTGCTCAGTAAGGCTGATCATGGAGACCTGGTAAGGTATATATATGATGCCTTTGTGTGACGCAAGGTCCTTATACAAATATTGAGGATACATATCCCTCAAGGGAACGATTGACAGGTCAGCATTGACTTTCATGATAGAGTTGTCAAATTCAGCATAAAAAATGTCATGCAGTTCTGTACTGTGGATAGGTGTCACAAGAAACTGCTTCCTGATGGGTCTGTAGCTATCTGTGAGGTAAGCACAATAGTTCGGTATCAGTGTAGGCTTCAGTCCAGTGAAGTATTCTATGTATTTAGCATCATATAAACTGTTTGCTGCTAGCACACTAGACCTACAAACAAAACAAAATGTACATGAAATTAATTTTTTATTACCAATAATTCCAGTTTCATCTTTCATACTCATCCTTTATTTTAAAAAAAGCAAAAACTGCCTACTTATCGCGATCAACTCTTCCAAGCAATCTGTTAAGAGATCTCCACTTTGCCGGTTCATTCCTTGATTGTTCGTATCTTATGCTGGCCCATATAATCATACTTTTGTTGAAAGGCTTGTACAACTCGCACATGGAAACAGGCAGGGTGCATACAAATGAGCTGACTGAATTCATCAAGGAATCATCTTTATACGCTTGGTAAAACTTTTTAATTAATGCTTTTGTTAGCGACATTCCATTATCACTGTTAATAACCCTGAAAAACAAACACATTTAATTTTATTTATGAATGGCGGGATAGAATATTATGAAATTGATAGTGACAGCAAAATTTTAACTTTAAATGTTTAGCACAGGTTCCTGTCATCATACAGTGGTAAGAAAGACTGTTATCAATAATTTTTACTCCAATAGGGCCCAGCAAACTTTTCAGGTCCATCATGGGTGTGATGTGGTAGTCCTGTGACCAAAGAACAGGCCTCAGACTGACAACAGATCTGACAGCTTCCTCTGAGAAGCCAGTGTTCTTAAGTATAACACAGGGTTTGTAAGGGTCCTGTGATACTTTGTCCACCCAATCTACATCATTTTCATTAAACATCAATTGATCATTTGAATCAAACTTTCGACCAACATATGCATCTCCCATTCTCAGAGCTGGAAAAGGATGACTGCCCGACCAGTCATTACATGATACACTGTCATGGCAAAAGACTGACATTTGAAACTTTTTCCATAATGTCTCATGCATATATTTGAGCCCATTTTTAGCAATATTCAAAAGAAACGTTTCACTGGGGGCACCTAATAATGTTTTGATCATTTTTGGAATTCCACCAAACAGTCCCAAAGGAAGAGCTTGGTTGACGTGGCTGTAGTGATCTCTGATGCAGTAGAAAGGAACACTTATATTCGAAGCCGTCCAATCTTCCAATGCCATAAACTCTCTTTCACTGGGCCTCGTGTCCGAATCTCTTACAATAAACCTTTTAACTTTCAGATCATCTATGATCAAGTATTTCCAGAGTTCAGGTGGTAGTTTGGAAGCATTGCTATTATTCAAGTTGATAACTTCTACTCCAAAGTTTTCTAATTTCCTAGCAACAATTTTCAACACTTTCAAAGATTTTTCTGTTAAAGATGTATAAACTCTAAGCCTCCATTCTGGAAAAACAATAGGCAGAAGTTGTGCATATCTCAAAATGCCATACACTGAAGATACATCATTGCCAAATAAGGACATTGACACAACTCCTACAGAATCTTCATTCCAGAATTTTTCAACTTTGCCATTTATGGTCCGATCAATATATCTCTGTATGATAATTTTTCCAATGCTGCATTCAATTTCAATGTTCTTTGCTTTCTCATAATGAACCATGTACCTCATTCCCTTCTCCATCGTGTGTTTGACTCTGGTGCCAGGAACTTTTTTGCTTCTCTCAGGCCAGTACACTTGTGTAATCCAATCATCTGCAAACCAATCAGTGAACACCCTAGGATAGTAAAAGCCAAAAATATCAATGTGTGTTCTGTGAACAAAATCATGTGTTAAAATGTTGGTGTTTCCCTCTTTGAACCACGGACCAACCACCCCGATGTTTGGAGGATTAAATCTCTGTAGTTCATCAATGAATTTTTCTGTCCAACCTGTCGTCTCCAAGACAGTGTCATCATTCAATCTGTAGTAATAATCCATTTCATCCATGTAGGCAGCCATCATGGCATCATTTTGAGCCCAAGCCGGTCGACCTGAATGATGACATTCGACTAAATGTAAAGTGACATTGACCGTTCTAGAACATTGTGTATTGATCAATTTATAAAATGCCTTGCTAAAAATATTATGAGCATTTTTTGTAGAAAAAAAATCATCGGAGTGATCATGTGAAACATAAAAGTTATAATGGAAGCCTCTTGTTGCTGTTTGACAAAAAGATGTTAACAAACTTCTGAAAAATGGCATTTTGAATTGCAAATTTTCTTCATTTAAATTTTGTTCATGTCTTGTAGTTAATGCACAACCAAGTGCTATATTTCTTTCAGGGTACACTGAACCCACAAATACAGGCTCAACATTACTTTCGTCAAAATCGACCCTCAAAAACGAATTGAAATAATCTCCCTGATTGTCATTGTGACCGATAAACTCTGGTTCACCGAGTTCACTTTCGTGCAATATAAACCCAACTTCTAAATCGTGATCATGTCCCTCGTGGGTATGATGCTCTTTTTCTTTTTCGTAGAAAGTTTTTTTCAACAATGTATTACCTTCTTCCGATTGTTGTCTTTTTGGTAACTCGGGAAGAAACAAAATTTCTTGGATAACTTCCCAAACGTCGTTTTGTAAACGCTCGTTCAAGCCGTACAGGATGAAAGCAGATAAAACAAACAAGAGAAAAAATAGGCACTTTTGACAATTTCGCTTCAGCAACAACTCCGCATGCATATTTTGCAAGATTTCTGCGTTTTCTTCAAACGATCATTTTTATTTTTTGATCAATTGCGTTGCTACACACTCAGCTCATCAACGACATAAACAACAGCCATACACCTGTACCTACCAGCAATCAAATGAGCAAAAACAGGATAACGAGGAAAACCAATGCAGCATTGTTTAAATTAAATTTGAAAAAAAAATTAAAATTTCTCTTTATACATATATTAATGTATATAGAAAGTATAATACAACTTATTTTTTAACTATTTCTAATTATAGGTAAGCTATACCATTTTTTAAACATTAATCAGATGAAATACTTATGAATTACTATCTCAGGTAGGGTACCTTATGGCAGACTTTAATTTAATTCCAGCCATGACTTGCCTATGTTCAATTAACTCAGATCTCACCTACCTACGTTCAACTAATTCAATCCCTAGCTTACTTATTGGTTGTTAACACAGCTCATTTTACACTTTATATTTGTGATTTTATATTACCAAAGTAGGAAAAATTAAGAAGAATAGACAAATTACAACAATATAACAGCCAATACATGCATGCATGTATATGTGGATGTGCGTTTGTATGTATGTACGTTTGTATGTTTTTAACCTCTGCATGTATGTGTTTGTATTTTGTGTATGTGTGTACGCTTGAATTCTAGAAATAATAAATAACTTGACAAAAATAATACTGTGTTGATTGTCGTGTTTGATTGTTGGTGTTGGTGTTGTGTTGAACAAAAAAAACAAGACAATACAAAACAAATATATAAAGAATAGAGACCTAACTTTCCTATGTTCACTTAATTAACTCACCTACCTATGTTCAATTAGATTAGCTCAACTTACAAATTAATCCCACCTATTTGTACGATTACGAAGAAAAAAGCAGGGTAAAGAGGATAAAAAAAACAAGCAAACAAAACAACGAATGTATTGTATGTGTGTATGTATGTGTACAAACTCTATATAACCACGCAATAAAATAAACGAAAAGTCTAGAAATAAGTAGCAATATAAATAACGAATATGTCTAGAAATAATAAATAACTTGACTAAAATAAGATATAACGAAACTTAACTAAAATATAACGAAAATTATTGCTACCAAATATGTCATGCATTTAAGGGTTAAACATAATTTGTTGAAAACGAATCTGTCATTAACGTTAATGAGCTTCTTATTCTAATTTTTTATTTACGAATTAATATTTTTGGTTAAATCCAAATTAAAAATAAATTTTTCAAGTTTAATATGTTTCATACATATAATTAGAATAAATATAACGGCCTTCGCTCATTTTTGACAGTCAAGCAAGGAGCTTACTTCCGGAGGGGAATTGGAGGGTGATTTTTTATCGCCCAACTCTAAAATTACGATCGTTTATTTACTAATTTCGAAATATTTATTGCTTTTATTTAAAATGTTTTGAAAGGTGATACTAGACGCTGTTTTAGGATAGATATTGCTGTATGACGGTTTTTGCATTTTAAATTAAAAAAATTGTTTGTGAACCACTCTTCTAACACTTGACTCGTTAACGATTAACTGTAACCGGTAAGGGTAACGTAACAACATTAACGACGACTAATTAGTAATTAAATTACTAAACTCTAATAATTAAGCTAAAACTAAACTACTAATTCTAATTACTAATTAAACTAAATAACAGATAACACTAACGAACATTAACAGATTAGACTACTAGAGACTACCAACCACTACACTACTACAACTACTACACTAACAACACTTGTTCCTAAAATCCTAAATCCTATTGCTTGATTGGTTGTAAAATTTTTACTTACAGTGCTTAGGCCTGGGAATAAAGAATATATTTTTTAAAATAACTAATATTCAATGATTTTGCTAGTTATTCAATTATGTGGACAATTTCATATAATTAGAATAATTTGTCGTGCTTGGATTATTGGCTTACGAAATTGCATGGATTTTAACGAGCAAGCTATATGAAATATTTACTTGACTTAATATGCTTAAAACATTGTAGTAATTCTCTTTAATTTTATTAAATAAAATTATGATATTATTAAATAAAATTATGTATTATTAAATTATTGTTGTTAATTTGAATATAAAAATTATACTTTTGGTCCTGTGAAATTCGGTGGTTTTTTACTGAAGCCGAAGGTTGGCTTAGTAGGATTGAACTAAAGTCACTCTTTTTTACACTATTCGATCACGTTAAAAATTTGTTTGCTCATAAAATAAACGACCTAAATAGATCAAAATTGTTATTTGAACAACTATCTTCATTATATTCAATGAATATTTTACATTCTGCTGGTGCTCATAGAAATTATGGTTGCTGAAATCATACGTTGGCTTACTGCAGTGGCTTACTGGGTCTCATACAACAGTGTCATGGCGGTTTTCTTTACATATAATGCTTTAAATAAGTCAACATATTCATTTCACAATTATTTTTGTCAATATAAATAAAGAAATTGCTTTTGTCTGGTAAAATACAGTGGCCAAGTAAAGCCGTATGTTGGCTTAATCGGATTTTTTTTCATATATAAAATACTATGAGATCAATCAATCAATCAACCAACCATTCATTCAATCAACTAATCAACCAACCAATCAATGAACCATATTTGAAAAATATTTGCAAGGCTTGTTCAAACTCGAACAAACACTTAACTGTACAGATTTACAAACAATTTCGAGATTTTAGTAAAGAAAGAAAAACACAATAGTTGCTTTTATTAAATCAAGAAATATCCAAAAATTATATAACCAAATTAAAAAAAACTAGAAACCAGTCAACATTTAATAAATAATTAAATAAATAAATAGACATTATTAAAAAGATTGTTCAAAAAGGTAAAATTTAAGGCGACGACGAGAATAAAATGTAGTTTGTTTTGTTGGTGTGGGGCTGTGAAGCGAAAACAAACACATCACAAAAAACTAGTAAGAAGTCGCAAGAATAGTAGTCAGTCACCTACCTACAATTAAATTACTCTCAGGGCCCTAGCTTACTTATAATCATTAACTCAACTCACCTACCTACAAATATGTATTTCTACGTTTTTGGAATTTAACATATTTTAGGTATTTTATTTTACACATTTCAGCGTTTTTTTTACTTGAAACTTTTTAACTAATGTTAAGCCCTAGCCTACCTACGGTTGTTCAACTCATCTCAATCCCTAACTTACCTACAAATTAAATTAAAGTCCGGTAAAGAAAATAGCAAGTTGAAGAGAAACATGACAACAACGACACCGAATGAATGGATGTTGTGTATGTGTGTGTTGCTTTGATGTGTGTGTGTAAATTGTGCGCGCGTATTCTCCAGAAACTTCTTCTCTCACTACGGACGAACCTCCATTGCACCGACCATCAGCTGACACGCATCAAGGGAATGAATTTGACAGAATATTGAGAAACACTAAATTGAGAAAAAAAAATTAAGTCTTTAAAATAAAAAACAAGCCATTGAAAAAAATAGGCAACTTAACTTATTGAGATGACAAATTCGAGTACTTTCAATGGTACGATGGGACAAAAACAAATTTCTCTTTTATATTATCTTCAAATTGTCATCGGAACGATCATCATGAGACCACCATCTGAAACATGCTGACGCCCACCACAGCCCACCTCTCATCATTCTGTAGACAAGTTTTTTTGATTAATAAATAATAAATGATTAACTGAATGATTGAATGATTGGTTGAATTAATTAATTAATTAACTAATTAATTAATCAATCAATGATTTAATTAATGAATAGAATAAATCAATGAATCTTTTAATGGAAGAATAATTTGAATAAGAAAAAAAAAAAATAAACCATACTTCAAAAATCGTCGTTGTTTTCTTCAAATTGTCATCGGAACGATCATCATAAGACCATCATCTGAAACGTGCTGACGCCCACCACAGCCCACCTCTCATCATTCTGTAGAAAAGTTATTTTTATTAGCTTAGTAGTAAATCAAGGAACGAACGAATAAATGGTTAACTGAATGATTAAATAATTAGTTATAAGAATGAATGAATGAATGAATAGAATGAATTAACGTCAATTAATGAAAGAATAATTTGAAAGATTGAGTGAAAAATGAATAAATGAGAAAAATAAAAAAAAACGAAACTAAACCTTCCTTACTTCAAAAATCTTAGTTACTGTACTCCATTGCACCGACCACCATCATCTGGTCGGCACACAAGATGTCATCCGAACAGCCAACGAGCTGATTCTTCCTACACCACCATCACCATCATCATACGTAAATCATCATGAGAGACCATCATCTGAAACGTGCTGACGCCCACCACTACCCACCTCTCATCATTCTGTAGACAAAATTTTTTTATTAGCGTAGTGGTAAATGAATGTTAGAATCTTAAAAGCAAAAAAATTTAAAATGAAAATAATGGCAAATAAATAATATTTTAAAATAATAAAGGGAGTAAAATGTAAAAAAAACTTACCGTCGTCCATTCGACAAAGGCAGAATGTTGAATTCGGTCCGGTTCCTACGTTGTCCTCCAGTCCTCCCGAGATTGTTGTTGAAACACAGCCCGTATTGAGGAAGAAAAATAAAGAGAAGATTCTCATCAGAAAGCTTAGCAGTGCCTGCATCTCAAATTGCTTAATAAAAATAATCCTATCTACCTATTCAATTACCTTAGCTAATTTATATTAAATTATTAATGGTACGATAGTCGAACGTCCCCCTTCATTCTCCCTCCTTGCACAGAGGTTCACCGACAACCAGGGCACCGGATAGTAAACCATTGCCGTGCGGATAGTAGACTATTGCCGTGCGGATAGTAAACCATTTGCCGTCCGGAAGCCGTGCGGGTAGTAGACTATGGCCGTGCCGCATGGTAAATCATTACCGTGCAGATAGTAAACCATTGCCGTCCGGATAGTAAACCATTGCCGGTTCACCACTGGCCACCAAGGCTTACCTCTGACAAGAGACTTTGAAATCCAGAGTCAATCGGCTATCGTACCCTCAACATACCTGTTCATTACATTACGGCCCTAGCTTACCTAAAATTACAAAACTCAAGAGCCCAATTCATTTAGCCAATCGGCACCCACCCCACCACCTACGTAATGCCTTGGGCTCCAACTTAGTAATAATAATATAAAACTTAAACCCTAAATCTATTAATGAGTATGTGTTACAACGTAGCCTTGACTTACCTATTCATTACATTACGGTCCTAGCTTACCTAAAATTATAAAACTCAAGAGCCCAATTCATTTAGCCAATCGGCGCCCACCCCACCACCTACGTAATGCCTTGGGCTCCAACATAATTATAATAATGTAAAACTTATATTAGCCTACCTATCGATACACTTACAGCGTTTTAATTTACATTACAAGATTGTTCCTAGAATTACATTATTGCCCTTAATTACCTATAAAATTAAATTACTCTCAACCTTAATAATAATAAATTAGAATGTGTAATGAAAATAAAATTACGCTCAAATACTAACATATGTGTTTATGTATGTATTTGAGTGTGTGTGTGTAATACGCTGATGCGTGTAATGTGGGTGCAAGAAAAAATAGAAGCGATAAATTTACGCACCTACCTATTCAACTACATTAGTGTTGGATGCTTCTTATCTATCCTACCTACAATTAAAATTATGCCTATCTAACCTACCTATAAAGCTACTTAATGTATTTGTGTGTGTATGTGTGTGCGTGTGAGCATTCTTACTTAATGTTAAATTACAGAGATAAACAGAGAAAAAAGAATAAAACGTATCCCGGCCAGGCGTGTGTTCTTTGCCACTGAATGAACGAACGTAGCCTGACATCCTCCATGATGAACTCCTCTGGAAGCTTCAACCTGAATGAAATGAAAAAATGTTATTTAATAAATTTAAATGAAAATAGAGAAACGAGCCGCGGTGAAACCCGCCAGCCGGAAAAGCCAGCCAATTGGCAAAAAGGAACCGCAAAGAAACCGTAAAACGAACCCCAGCCAGGCGTGCATTTTTTGCCACTGAATGAACAAACGTAGCGTGACATCACAACCATTCTGATCTTCCACGATAAACTCCTATGGAAGCTTCAACCTGAATGAATGAACCTGAATGATCCTAAATTAATGGAAAAATCTTATTTATTTAATTAATTTAAATGAAAATAGAGAAACGCAAAGAAGCCGACCGGTCGGCAAAGAAAAGAACCTCAAAGAAAGGTATCTATATAGGATTTATACTCTATATAACTCTATATAACTCTATATAACTCTATATAACTCTATATAACTCTATATAACTCTATATAACTCTATATAACTCTATATAACTCTATATAACTCTATATAACTCTATATAACTCTATATAACTCTATATAACTCTATATAACTCTATATAACCATACATACCACCACATTCAATCAATAAAAATCCCACTAAAACCAGGAACCACCGCGTACCTGTTATATGTATGATGTGAAACAAATAAAAAAAAACAAAGCAAAACACACACCACCAAGTAGAGTAAAAGAATAGAAGTCCCTAACCTACCTATGTAACTAAATCACCTTATGCCCTAGCCTACCTATATAATAAATTAATTTTTACCTCACCTACCTATGTTTCATTAACTTAACTTAAGACTCATGAAGAAAGAGAAAAAGGAGTAAAACAGAACATAAAACACTACCACACAAACAAACATGACGTATGTGTGTATGTATGAGCAACCGCTAAAGAATCCACCTAAAATATAAAAAAATACAACATACAATCACACAAACCACAGGCATGCAAACTCTATATAACTCTATATAATAAAATAAATAAAAATAAAAAAATAATATAAATGAGATCAGGCAGACTGCTTCATGCGAGGCAGAATGCCTGATCTGATTTTCACGTTTTCTCAGCTCCTATTTATACTCGTTTCAACCATACACTTTCACCATTTCAATCATTCACATCAGTAAAAAACTTATTTAATGTATGTACTACAGTATTATAGTCTTAACCACAATGCCAACAGTACTAAATTGACGTCATCGAACGAACGCCTTCGAAATTTTCTGATTGGCTGGTTGAATCTGCTATATTGCTTTTTATATAAAACATATAATCTTATTAATTATTTGTATACATGGATTCTAGTTACTTTATATATATATATATATATATATATTCATTATAATTGCAACAGTAATCAATGCTACATATGTACGCCGCAGTTCAAAATTTTCTGGGAGAATTCAAAATAATTTGAGATCACACCTTGCTTAACATCCGATTCCAAGCCGAGCCGAGCTAAGCTGAGCCATTATGCATAGATTTATAAGCGCTTTTATAATAATATTATGCTCGCTTTATATATATAGTAATAAATTCCTTATAAACGCAACAGTCGTAATCAGTGCTACATATGTGCGCAAATTTTTCTGGGAGAATTCAAAATAGTTTAAGACCACACCTTGCTTAACATCCAATTCCAAGCCGAGTCGAGCCAAGCTGAGCCAATATGCATAGAGTTATATTAAAATTTTGCTCGCTTTATATAGACTATATAGTATATAAATTCATTATAAACGCAACAGTAATCAGTGCTACATATGTGCGCACGCAGTTCAAATTTTTCTGCAAGAATTCCAAATAGTTTGAGACCACACCTTGCTTAACATCCAATTCCAAGCCAGCCGAGCCAAGCTGAGCTAATATGCTTAGATTTATAAGCGCTTTTATATTAAAATTTTGCTCGCTTTGTATATATATAGTATATAAATTCATTATAAACTCAACAGTAATCAGTGTTACATATGTGCGCACGCAGTTCAAATTTATAATTTATTATAAATTTTATTTGATGTTTTTTAATTAGTCAGGTCACAATCATCATCATCATCGATATCGCAATGAAATCAAATTGAGAATTTTTTATATTAAAAAAAAGTATCTTTATTTATTTTATGATACTATTTTGTTCAATAAGATACTGTTTGATACATATAACTAGAATAAATATAACAGCCTTCGCTCACTTTCAACAGTTGAACAAGGAGCTTACTTCTGGAGGGGAGATGGAGGGTGAGGTTCGAGTCGAAAGTTACGGTAGTATATTTACTAATAACGGAATATTGCTTTTATTTAAAATGTTAAAATTTTATTTTTTTTAAATTGTTATTCAATATGGTAATTAATTACTTTTATTTGGTATAAATTTAAACAAATAAAATCGACATTACCGAAAATAATTAAAAGTTGCAAAAATTGAGATTCTTTGCATATCCATGCTTCAAACCATAAGAAAGTGTTGTTTAATGGTAAATATAGGCCTCCCCTTGGTTTCATAATCATTTACTGTAATTTAAATTTAAGCAACTATTCACGTGGATACCGGTTTGAAATAAAAACCCAAATCTGGTATATAGAATTTTAGAATTAAAACTGTGAATTGTGCTATAGTTGTACCGAAACATTCGAATAACATTTCATCGGTTGGTTGTTGATCGCAGTGTGAAATTTTATTTTACTACTACGTTGATCTTGAAGGCGGATGAGATTGTGGCTTTTTTAGGAAACAATAAAGACGTGGTTGTATGTGAATGAATGGATGAATGAATGGATGGATGGATAGTTGAATGAATAGATAGATGAATGATTGAAGGAACGAATGAAAGAAAAGAACGAACGAACAAATATCGAAATAAAACTAACGTACAAACATTACGACCAAACAAAAAGCCGTCAGCCACAAAATGTTAACAAAAATTCTCTCTCTCAGTCAACAGGTCGAAAAAATTTGCTATTTAAATACATATGTGGCCTTTCAAAGGTCAAAGAGTTCTCAATGCGGCTTTTTAAAGGTCAAATAGTTCTCAATGCGGCCCTTCAAAAGTCAAATAGTTCTCAATGCAGCCCTCACATCCAAAAAATTGCCCACCCCTGTCATAATGCGATTGTTATAATGATACCTAATACATTTATTACAACTTTATATAATACATATGTGAAATCCATGTCGGAAATTTAATTTTACGATGGTACAAATTGCAAGAGAAATAGGAAGAAATAATTAATTTACTTCTTTCAGATTGTAAATTTTATGAACGGTCATTAAATTAATTTTTCAACGGGATTGTGAGCGGGAGGGTATTATATATATATATCTTAAGGACTTAAGTTTGCCCTACTTAACATCTAATTCACTTTTCATTCAGTTTTGTTTCCTTTTTCGTGATCGCCGCCAATTTGTATATACATCCTCATTGATTGACGGATTGAGATTGCCGGATAAATCTAAAAATTTGTTTTTCTATTTGTGTTTCAAAGATGGGATTAGGAAAGCGAAAAGCCGCCGAAAGTCAAGCTGCCGCTGATGTAAAAAAGAAGCGTCGGAGATCCCCTAGTCCACGTGCCTCCCAGCTCAAAAAATACAAGTTAGTATTAATTATTAAATTAATTGAATTATTAAAAAGTGATTATTAATTCTGGATTAGATCAGGTTTTGCATTTTATTTAATCACCAACCTATTTGAACAACGATAATAAATTTTTATAGGATTCCGAATGAACCATTGACATTCACTGCAAGTGGGACGTCATTCAGTATGGGCATGGGAGAAGTGGGTCAGTTAGGGTTAGGTCCTGACATCATGGAAGCCAACAGGGTAAGCAAGATCAACTTGAAAGATCCAATCATCCAAGTTTGCTCTGGTGGCATGCACAGCTTGTGCCTCACTGCTAAGGGAGAAGTTAGTTTAAACTTTAAACTTTAAAATTTAATTAAATTCATATTAAATTAAATACTAAAAAATACATTGTAACATATTTTCCAGATCTACTCATTTGGTTGCAATGATGAATGTTCGTTGGGTAGAAAAACAGAGGAGGAAGAAAACTGTTTCACTGCAGATAAGGTTCTTGGCATTGAAGGTTGTGTTGTGCAGATCGCTGCGGGTGATAGCCACTCAGTTGCTCTCACAAACAAGGGGCATGTCTACATATGGGGAACCTTCAGGGTTTGTACTTGTTTGTTTGCTTGCTTGTTTGTTGAAACTTTTTCAGATTTTTGCTTATTAATTTGTTTTATTTTGTTCACTACGCGTATGCCACGCTCTTATGTTAACTATTCTTTCTTATATTTTTTCAACCAATTCGTTACAGGATAACAGTGGTGTGATTGGAATGAACAAAGATGATGAGAATGATGTCAAACATCAAATATTAGAGGTTAAAATAGAGAAGCCTTCACTGATTTTGAGTGATCAGACTATAGTGAAAATCGCTTGTGGATGTTCGCATCTCTTGTGCCTCTCGAATAAGGGTGACATTTTCAGTTTGGGGGCTTCAGATTGTGGTCAGTTGGGCAGGGTGGCTGAATATTTTGCCCAGAGAGGTGGACGAAGGGGCCTAAGTTGGTTTTCTTTATTTTTCTTTTTTTGAATTTTTATCTGATCCTGTGTTTAATATCATTTCTTATCATCTTATTAAATAATTTCATTAATTTATTTTATTAATTCAAGGTAAAATCCTTACTCCTGGGAAAGTGTCATTTCGCAAGAAAATGAAATGTGTTGACATCTGGGCAGGCGCTTACATATCATTTGCCAGGACAACTGATGGTGCAATATGGGCCTGGGGTCTCAATAATTACTTCCAACTAGGTTTGTAAGACACCAGTTTCAAGCATCATTGTTTTTAAATAACATATTTTATTTATCAGATTAATAACAAATATTAAATTTCCTTGTTTCAATTTCAGGATTTCCTGATATGAGGGATCGATTTACTCCAGAGATGAGTCCCAGTTTTGATTCATCTATCGAGTGGAAGCAGATTGCTTGTGCTGAGCACCATATCATTGCCATGGATGCAGCTGGAAAGTCGTACAGCATGGGTCGAAAAGAGTATGGTCGATTGGGATTAGGAGAAGTAAAGGAAGACGTGAAAGAGCTGACTTTGATAGATACCTTGGCGGACAAAAAAGTACTGTCAATCAGTGCCGGTGCATCGGTTTCTTATGCAGTCGATGACCAGGGCGTGCTGTATGGATGGGGTATGGGCAGCACCTTTCAACTTGGCAATGGAAATGATGAAGAAGACGTTTACGCTCCAAAGCCTATAAAAGGAAAACAGCTTGAAAAAATGTTTGTTTTTCATTTCTGTATTAATATTTTTATTTGAATGAATGTATAGAATGATTATTGTTCTACACTACAGTTTAATTTTTTTAATTTGGCAGTTAAGTTTAAAAAGTGTATTTTGAATGAAATATGACTAATATAAATTTTAATATATTTAATGATTTTAATTAATTAACTTTTTAAAATTCACAGGAGTTGCATAATGGCGTCAGCTGGAGGTCAGCACACCCTTCTTCTTGCTTCCAGCAAATGACCGTGCCATGATAGATGTCCAAGACCCATCTTACAGTTTATTGTTCCTTGCATGAAACCATTTATTAACAACTGGATTGCTTATGATACAGTTGATTTGATGATTATATTTTGTGATTAACCTTAACGTGTGTACATTTATCACTGAAAGATAATTTATTAATTTTGTTCCTTTGCGCTTGATGTAAGTTACGAATCATCTTGATTTCTATGTATGGTTTGGTATTTTATCTCATTATCGATATAACATCTGTATCGTATGTTATGTTAGCGTTTTATTGCGCACCTTTTTCTTGTTTTTAATTCAAATTTCCTGCGTTTATATCCAATCTTTGAAATAATTTAGATGAAGTTTGCAATTCTTATTTGATTCATAATATGTTACACTATTGTTATTTCACAATTTATCATGTCTTCACGTATGTTTGCTTAAATAAAGGTCTTATCTCTTATCTAAAACCAAAAGTTTTTTTCATAATTGTATAATGACAGCAATGTCTGTTCTGTTAACTAAATTGAAAATTCTGAGAAACGGTCGAACTTTCTGGCGGATGTTTCTGAAATTTAAATTGTTTTTTAAGTATTATAAAATTTTTGTAATGGTGTCCCTAAGTTTGCTTGATTTGCCGGTTCTGGTCGATATTTATCAATGCGTGGAAGTTTTTCCGTAAAGATGTCGCATCATTCGTAGGACGTTTCATGCTAATTTATTCTAAAAAATTTAAAGTCAGTGCTACGTGTTATTAAAAAGGTCACACACGACGCATGTTACAAAAATATGGACAACATCGATTTTGGCTGAAAAATTTACTCTTCTATTGTTGGAGCCTAATCCGTTATTTTTCAGTATATTATTTATATTATTCATGAAATCTTTTAAATGAAATTGTATCTCTTTGAAACAGAAATCGGTTAAATTTCTTTTATAGATAAACAAGTTTTTAGTACTATGAAAGCGTTCAACTGAAATAATGATGTGATTAGATTTAGAAAAAGCTAAATTGGCTTAAAAAAGCCTTTTACATATTAAATGTTTAATAAAAAGGTACATAATTTTGAAATTTAAAAAAATGAGATGGAAAAATAAAAAAAAAAGTGCACAAGTTTTAGAGATGAGGCTGGAGAAGTCACTATGAAGTGAAGAAACGATTCAAGTTGAGAAACTACATAGCAGAGGAAAAAAGAGATTACTTCACTACATTGTTAATTGGAGCTGCCCTGCTAGTGAAAACGAAGTGTCGAAAAACACGTTTTTCATCGCACATACAGAGCTACTTGAAATCGCAACAGAAAACATTTTCGGCATCTACATGTATGTATGAGTAAATATTTTTGAAGAGGCGTTCAAAATTAGTGAAGATTGAAATGTGACAGAATGATGAAAGGTTTATTTGATTTATATAAATATTTTTCCTAATTTCAGGGGATTGATTTGTAAAATAGCGACTTACTTTAACAACTGACATTAGCATAAGTCATCGAAAATAAAGTTAAGTTCAATGTTTGTAAAGGATGTGCGTAAAAATAATTTTGAATGATCTGTTCATCGGCCAAAAAATGAGATTTAACTTTGATTTCCTTCTCAAACTTCTGATCACTTCACAACTGAAATAAATACATACATTCTGAAAAGCACGTTCTAAACTGGCAATTAGTAGAGAAGAAGAAAGTACAATTGAGTACATTTTTTGTTCGTGCAACTGAGCACAATACACAGACACACATTCACTCATACAATACATCACACTCGTACATACTTAATTTACTGCACAAATTATTATTCTACTAAAGTTCAGACACAATCTGATCACGTGAGTAATGCTATACACAGCAACAACAACTGAATGAATGAATGAAACAACAAAATACTAACAATAAACAATATAAATAACAATGAAAAGCAAAGAACAAAAATAATAATAAGCAAAAGAATGAATAATGTAAATAATAATAATTCGTTTAGGCGCCTCGCTGTCTACAGTGTGCTGAATTAATATATAACTTTCTTCCACTACTTCTATTCATGCATGTATGTGTGCAAGCTTCTGTTAGTATACACATATGTGCATCTGTTTATATGTATATTATGATACATTATGTATACATGTTTGTATAGCTCATAGTATATACACGTAAATGTGAATGTTAGCTATATTTGTACATAGGGTTTAATGATGGATAATCTTTTTAAGAATTTTTTAACCTAATTATGCATAAATTTGATGATATTGTTATGTGTTATGTTGCAGTTTCGACTAACTCGGCTCCTGTTACGAATATGTGGAGTTAATTTTGATGGAGAACCATCGGTGGAATGAATTAATTTTCTTATTTATTTAATTTTCTTTTTATTAGTAGAGGAAAACAAGATGAAAGTGGTGCACTTGCTCACTTATCTCGAGATATGTTGGATGCTGGCGTTGTGTGAGCAGTGGCTTCATTACACCTTCACAAAGTCTTAATATGTTTATAATAAGAAGATTGAGATGATGGAAACTAGTGGAATGGTGAGAAGGAGATGATGAAGAGATGAAGATGCTGATGATTAGGTGATGATGAGGAGGATTTAGCTGAAAAAAATTTGCTTATGGGAGCGAGATGTTATTTATGAAAATAAAGTAGCGAAAATAACTGAACTGTTTAGAAGTGTCGGTTTAAATTCATGTATTTTTTTCTACTTTGAGGTTTTTCGTTTGAAAATTTGTAAAATATTGATCGGCATCAATTAACATTAAATATTGATCATTCAGTTATTTTAGGGCTTTCGTTTATCTTCGTTTTTTGTTTTGTTTTTAGTTGCAGTAGACATGTTTATCTTTTTCAAATCGTTGATTTTTCAAAAATTTGTATCTCCTAGAAAAAAATAAGCAAAATTTATTGATCAGATTACAAGAATGAAAATTTGAAATCAACCATAGAGTCATTATCAGCGCTTGGTTCATTTCATGTAAATGTCTATTGAATTCAATTCATTTTAAGATCGTTCTAAAGTCTGTAAAGATTCTTACTGAAGATTTTGCCTCGATTTTAAGATAAAAAATGGTTTGATGTTTTATATACAATTATACATGCATGCGCGCGTGTTGATTTAATAAAATAACCATACCAGAGATCAGTCTACTTTACAAAAGATGGTAAAATGCATGTACAGAATACTTTAGAGAATTTTAATAAAATTTGAAATTGAAGGAAAAGGAATGGACAGAGGTGGGCGGCGAGATAGCGTAATGGTTAAGACGCCCAGTCCTGCTGTTGCAGAGTCTGGGTTTGACTGCGAAGAGATCCCAGTTTATCACTTAACGCTGTACAATGATCACTTTTTTATTGACAATAGTCAAATGTTTGAAGATCGTGATATCAAATTATAAATTATTAAATAATTTATTAAGTTTTCTTTTTAAATATTTATGCCATGTTTAACTGCTTATTTTATGTTTGAGATACGGAAACTTGTAATTGTTTTTCATTACTTAATTACAAAATCATATAAACTATAAATTAAAACCGTAAAAATATCGGCTATAAATAGTAATAATAATAATAATAATAATAACAAATAATATTATTATCACTCTACTATACATGTTTGTAAACTATCGCCTGCCACTGCTCGCTCATCTATTAACATACATTTGCTCTGCGTACATGTATGCCTAAATAGATGTATCAAAATAAGCTATTTATTTTCTAAGAAACCATTCTTTTAAGCATAATTGCTATTCATTTATCTTCTCTTTCATTCATTCATTTTTCATTCATTTATTTGTTCATTTATTTGTTCATTTATTCGGTCATTTATTCAGTCATTCTTTCATTCATTTTTCATTCCTTCATTTGTTTATTAACTCGTTCGCTCATTCATTTTATCATTCGTTCGTTCGTTTTTTTGTTTATTCGTAGCTTACATATTTATTCGTTTATTCATTCATTCATTCAATCATTCATTCCTTTTATTTTCATTTCATTTTCTCTCAACTATTTAAGACAGTAACAAACATTTAATGGCATTAAAATTTAAGTTCATAATAGCATTAGTATTGAATTGGGGGTAGTAATGGTAGTAGTAGCAGCAGAAGTAGTAGTTGTAGTAGTAGTGATTGTAGTAGCAGTGATAGAAAATACCAGCAGATTTGATGGACGATTTGAATTCAAATAATTTTAAATCATTTGTTTAAACTATTATTATTTTTTATTTTAATTAGAGATCAATTCTATACAGCTTATTTTGGTCTTTATTTCAAATCAGTATTCACGTGATTTTAAAAAAGGAAATAATGTTTATGAAATAAATAGCCACACGAGTGATAACAAAGATGATATAAACTGTCCAATAACGACACTTAATCAAAGAGTTCGTCGTGCACTCATACCCTATAACATTACTTCATACTTATATTATATATATAATATATATATATATATATATATATATATATATATATATTGTGTTTATTTACTTTTTTAATTTGTATTTACACTCACACGCGCACTTGCACATACATTCACACAAACATAATATAAAAACATAATATAAGCACATACACGATGATACACATGAACCAACAACTTATCAAAGGAAGGAACTGACCTTGACATTTATAAAACACCTTAAAAACCATTGTTAATTATTATTTGTTTCCATAATGTCACAAATTTCATTTGGTAAATTTACACGAGCTGTACGAACAGTAATCTCACAGTGATTACATTTTATTCATTTGTCTAACTCTTTCACGTCTTATCTCTAACTAGTTGAACATTTCGTACATTCCTCGTAAAAATCTTACACGTACACACACGCTCACACACACACACACACGCACACACACCATACACGCATGCACACATTACATTAGGTAACTATAGGTAAGGTAGGGAGGAATAATTTTAATCGTAAGACAGATAGAACATACAACATTGATGTAGTTGAACTGAGGTGGGCGGACAGCGTAAGTTTCATCGCTTCTCTATTTTTTTGCACACATTTCACGCATTTGCGTA